TTCTAAGATGTGGTTTTGCTATATGAATATATTCCAGACTCGAGTCATCCTGGGAATAAATGATCCCAAATGAAGTGATGTTCTGGAGAAGGTTACAGTCAGAATGAAGTTGCTGCTGGCTGCCCGTCTTGTGGTGTAGAAGCTCACTTCTCGCTACCCTCGGAATGGAGTCAAGTGTGCTACCCTGACAATACTTTCCTTGCACATAACAGCGAGGCCACCCATATTCGTCCTGTATTGAAGGCTCTTCTGAAATGACATCTGTCCCGGCTGGGTCTATAAGAGAGATGAGTCGTCTTCCTCTGTTCTCTATTCTGTTAAGAAGTCGCAGATGAGATGGGGGACAGGCAGTCCAAGAAAGTGGAGCATGCTCAAGGTGTGTGCGTACTTGTGCCTCGTACAGAATCTTGCAGCCTCAACTGTTGAATAGATGCGGTATACATCGTAGTGCTGTAAGCTTCCTGGCCGCCTTGTGTGCAAAATTTATAACGTGGTTCTTCAGGGTTAGTTTTGAGTCAGATTTCACCACAAGGATATTAACTTCGTCCCTAGGTACTAACACTCTTCACTGGTCGCTACTAGGTCACTCCCCCTGAACCGTGAGCTTTATCATACCTCTGCTTAAAGCTATGTATGGATCCTGCCTCCACTACATCGCTTCCCAAACTATTCCACTGCCTGACTACTCTGTGGCTGAAGAAATACTTCCTAACATCCCTGTGATTCATCTGTGTCTTCAACTTCCAACTGTGTCCCCTTGTTGCTGTGTCCCATCTCTGGAACATCCTGTCTTTGTTCACCTTGTCAATTCCTCTCAGTATTTTGTATGTCGTTATCATGTCCCTCCTATCTCTCCTATCGAAGAGGTATGGGGTAGATTTAAGAAGGCAATGTGGAATGGTGGAATAATTGAGAAAAGAATGGTGGAATGATTAGGAAAAGAGAAGCTGTTGAATGTTGATGATAAGAGGGAGGCAGTGATTCATACATTGGCCAGGGAGGTGTAACTTATCAGGGAACGGGAGGAGTTTGAACTCATGGCAAGTGAGTCCTAAAACTCACAGGTCAGTGCGTTAACCACTGGGCAGCTGGCTCAAAGAAGATTCATTCAACTAGGTATATATTTCTATTCACTATAGGAAAGTTAGCATAGGCCACCACTGTAACTACAAAGGCAGGTGATTAACGCACTGGATATACACCCATGACCAGGCGTAAGTTTGACTTCCTCCACACTGCCACACAAGTGAACCAGTGACCATCACATCCTCCACACTGCCACACATCAGCAAGTGAACCAGTGACCATCACATCCTCCACACTGCTACACATCACTAGGTGAACCATTGACCATCACATCCTCCACACTGCGACACATCACCAGGTGAACCAGTGATCAACACATCCCCCACACTGGTACACATCATCAGGTGAACCAGTGACCAACACATCCTCCACACTGCCACACATCACCAGGTGAACCAGTGAGCAACACATCCTCCTCAGTGCCACACATCACCAGGTGAACCAGTGACCAACACATCCTCCACACTGCCACACACATCACCAGGTGGACCAGTGATCAACACATCCCCCACACTGGCACACATCCCCAGCATCCACTAGCACATCAAATGGCTACGCACAACCTTAAAAAAGCCCAGGACTACATGAAACAGAGGTATGACGAGGCATTTAAACCTTGCTCAATAGAAATGGGAGATGATGTTATAGTACAAGAACCTGTACTTAGTTATACCATAAGGTACGGTTTAATGGCTCTTTGTAGATGGTAGACACGAAGTCTGACCTTCAGTATGTGGTAGCTCCTCTAAATCTGCGAAGGGTAAGTCTGAATGGGTAATAAGATTAAAAAAAATCACCTCACTTCCCTATTCCTACTGTCCCCGATGCTGTGCTTGACGCCTTGTAAGACTAAAAGTCTAAATGACTCATAATCGCTAATGTCCGGCATCACAGAAGTACAGATGGCTAACATCACAACCCTTCCTTAGACCTATGCCGACATATTTTCGGATATTCCAAAGGTATGTAATCTTGGATTCCATGACGTAGTTGTTGACACAAGTAAACCAGTTAAACTCTATCCGTACAGAGAAACTGTAATAATTGCAAGCAGAAACAAACTTTTTGCATGAGTCTGGGTTAATTGTCGAATCTTCAGGTCTGAGCTTCACCCATATCCTCGTGAAGAAACCAGTTGGTGGTGTTAAGATGAGTATCAACTACTGAAAAGTGACTGAAATCATGGTGGCAGATGCCTACCCCTTTCAAACAAAGATGACATCGTTGACTTCGAGGGTAATGACAAATCTGTCTCCAGACTGAACCTTCTTAAAGGCTTGTATCAAATTCTGCTTACCGACATGGACAAGGAGATCCTCAATTTTGTAGCTCCAGGATACCATTTTCTGTACACAGCCGCCTTTTGGTCACTTAGGTACTTTTGGCACCAGAAGGGAACATATTTCCCGTCTCAGAGATCTTTCTGATAGTAAATCCACTTTTGGTCGGCTCTCTGTCACTTCTTTTGGGTCACATAGTAGGGTAAGGGCAACTAAGACAGCTAACATTAAGGTCATCCAGAATTACAAAATTCCAAATGATAGAAAATACCCCCAACGAGTCTTGGGGATTGTAGGTTTCTGTCCTAAATATTGCTGCAACTTTTCCGATATTACGGCGCCTTAATTAATCTCTCTTATCATTATGAAAGTTCCATTTCACTGGTGAGATGTCGTTGAGAAAAATATAAAGACTGCTGTGCGCCGTTCACTTAGTGTTATGACCAGATTATTCAAGTTCATTTTTTTTGAGGATGATGCCTGGTTCAGGGAGTTAGCACAGATTTTCCAGCTGCTGGAAACGGAGTTCTCCATCTTGTGGCTTACTTGTTGGGAAAACTTAAGCAATATCATCGGGTATATTCTGTCGTAGATAATGAGGCCCAAGTTATGGTTCTGGCGGTAGAGAGTTTCGAATTATATATCATTCTCTCTGCACGTGGTTCAGATGTTCACTGATCAGTTTAGTGTTCATAACTCAGTGATCCAGCTGAACTCCATATGGAATAAAAACACTTATTTAATGTTCTAGGTCTTAAGATTTCACCCTCAACAACATCACTCTCAAACACATCCCAGGTAAGGACAGTGATGTGGCGGACTCACACATAAGGACTTCTTAGATAATTGGACATGTTTATTTTATATTATTACACTAATCATTAGGATTAGGTGATGATAGTTTTACGCTCTTTTTTTCCTTGTTTTCCTTTTTACGTTCTTTTTGCGTTGCTACCTTTCACAATCGCCTTGTACCTATTTAACTGTAATGTGTGCTGTCTCTCTCTCAAATAATACATGCTCAAAAGTTTATCTTGAAATTTTGCAATCATTTTGGTAGAGTATCGACATCTGGCCATGACGGTATAAAAAGAAAGTACTCGCATTAGCAAGTTGTCTTTTTCTTTATTTGTGCCATAGTTACATGCTAGTCACCTGAGAGATGCAACTAGACTCCAGCTGTAACAGTGCTCTGGGGGGGAAGGGGAGGTGTGGCACTGAATACTTCACATTTATTTGGTGTGCATCACACATCCACTTTTTACATTTCCTATGAAGTTAGAGGCTCACAACAGTACTGTGCATGGCACAACTTGTCAGACACTGCAACATCATGGAATCTTGGTTCAGAGGACATCTACAAGACCTTCTTCACGGATGCTACAACTAACTCATCTCTTTGGGTAGGACCTACTTCCACTGGGGAATCCCGCCTACGTGTAGCAGACGAAGGGTCTGCTTCACGTCTCTATCCACTAACGCCTATATAACCGCCAGTCTTCTTGCCTTTGCTCCAGATTCTTCTCCACCACGATGCTGTTAACATTAACTCCAAGGCTGAGGGACTGATTACCTCATCATTTGTATATAGTTCTATTGTCTTCTATTTATGTCCTAGAATCTGTATTGATAAAGCTACTGGATGGCGAAACGTCTACAATAAAGATATCCAAATGATGCACATGTGTCTTAACTTACATACAACATAAGCCTATCAGAGCGGCATTTACCTTCACTCTGGTCTAGAGAACAGTCTCTCACTAGCTCTGGCTGACTGCACATACTGGTCTCTCTTGTATGAGTTTATTAGCCAATGTCTATAAACGAGCTTACTTTGCTCTCTCTCTCTCTCTCTCTCTCTCTCTCTCTCTCTCTCTCTCTCTCCTTCCTCTCCTCTCTCTCTCTCCCCTCTCTCTCTCTCTCTCTCTCTCTCTCTCTCTCTCTCTCTCTCTCTCTCTCTCTCTCTCTCTCTCTCTCTCTCTCTCTCTACGTATTAGCATGGTATCTATCTACATTGCTGATCTAATGCACAATCTGTAAATATTGTAAATATTAGTGTTGGTATATATTTTACCAATCCCAGTACCAATTTAACCCAAACCAGCACCCATTTAGCCCATCCAGCACCCATTTTATCTAAATAGAGAAGCAACCAGAAATTGGGTCAGTTTGAGCAAGAAACTAGCCTAAAATAGGCCTCAAAGTGGTGAAATCCCATTTGAATAAATGACTCCACGACCTCCAGCTTCGCGCCAGCATAATTCTTACATCAAATTCTGCATATTAGGTGCAATTACCTTCAAGAGAAGATTTTCTACGACTTTAGAAAACCCACATCGTTGTTTTAATTCAGTGACACCAAGGTCAATGTTATAAGTAATTTCTTTATTGATGTTTACTCTTACCTGGGAACAAATTATTATTTTAATGAAAACTAAGAGCTAAACCCCCAGGGTCATACAGCGCTGCTCCTGGCAACACAACACCCAACTACTGTATATTATTACTGAGTATTATAATAGCACTGTCTCATCACTCTCAGGGGCGTCAGTTACAGTACTCATCACTCTCAGGGGCGTCATTACTTTCATCACTCTCAGGGGCTCAGTTACGTGTTATCACTCTCAGGGGCGTTCAGTCTACATGTCTCATCACACTCCAGGGGCTACTGTTATCTGTGTTATCACTCTCAGGGGCGTCAGTTACTGTCTCATCACTCTCAGGGGCGTCAGTTACTGTCTCATCACTCTCAGGGGCGTCAGTTACTGTCTCATCACTCTCAGGGGCGTCAGTTACTGTCTCATCACTCTCAGGGGCGTCAGTTACTGTCTCATCACTCTCAGGGGCGTCAGTTACTGTGTTATCACTCTCAGGGGCGTCAGTTACTGTCTCATCACTCTCAGGGGCGTCAGTTACTGTCTCATCACTCTCAGGGGCGTCAGTTACTGTCTCATCACTCTCAGGGGCGTCAGTTACTGTCTCATCACTCTCAGGGGCGTCAGTTACTGTGTTATCACTCTCAGGGGCGTCAGTTACTGTGTTATCACTCTCAGGGGCGTCAGTTACTGTGTTATCACTCTCAGGGGCGTCAGTTACTGTGTTATCACTCTCAGGGGCGTCAGTTACTGTTCTATCACTCTCAGGGGCGTCAGTTACTGTGTTATCACTCTCAGGGGCGTCAGTTACTGTCTCATCACTCTCAGGGGCGTCAGTTACTGTGTTATCACTCTCAGGGGCGTCAGTTACTGTCTCATCACTCTCAGGGGCGTCAGTTACTGTCTCATCACTCTCAGGGGCGTCAGTTACTGTGTTATCACTCTCAGGGGCGTCAGTTACTGTCTCATCACTCTCAGGGGCGTCAGTTACTGTGTTATCACTCTCAGGGGCGTCAGTTACTGTGTTATCACTCTCAGGGGCGTCAGTTACTGTGTTATCACTCTCAGGGGCGTCAGTTACTGTGTTATCACTCTCAGGGGCGTCAGTTACTGTGTTATCACTCTCAGGGGCGTCAGTTTAACTCGTGTTATCACTCTCAGGGGCGTCAGTTACTGTGTTATCACTCTCAGGGGCGTCAGTTACTGTGTATCACTCTCAGGGGCGTCAGTTACTGTTCATCACTCTCAGGGGCGTCAGTTACTGTTATCACTCAGGGGCGTCAGTTACTGTGTTATCACTCTCAGGGGCGTCAGTTTACTTGTGTCATACAACTCTCAGGGGCGTCAGTTACTGTCTCATCACTCTCAGGGGCGTCAGTTACTGTGTTATCACTCTCAGGGGCGTCAGTTACTGTGTCATCACTCTCAGGGGCGTCAGTTACTGTCTCATCACTCTCAGGGGCGTCAGTTACTGTGTTATCACTCTCAGGGCGTCAGTTACTGTGTCATCACTCTCAGGGGCGTCAGTTACTGTGTTATCACTCTCAGGGGCGTCAGTTACTGTGTTCATCACTCTCAGGGGCGTCAGTTACTGTGTCATCACTCTCAGGGGCGTCAGTTACTGTGTTATCACTCTCAGGGGCGTCAGTTACTGTGTCATCACTCTCAGGGGCGTCAGTTACTGTGTTATCACTCTCAGGGGCGTCAGTTACTGTGTTATCACTCTCAGGGGCGTCAGTTACTGTGTCATCACTCTCAGGGGCGTCAGTTACTGTGTTATCACTCTCAGGGGCGTCAGTTACTGTGTCATCACTCTCAGGGGCGTCAGTTACTGTGTTATCACTCTCAGGGGCGTCAGTTACTGTGTTATCACTCTCAGGGGCGTCAGTTACTGTGTATCACTCTCAGGGGCGTCAGTTACTGTGTTATCACTCTCAGGGGCGTCAGTTACTGTGTGTATCACTCTCAGGGGCGTCAGTTACTGTGTCATCACTCTCAGGGGCGTCAGTTACTGTGTTATCACTCTCAGGGGCGTCAGTTATACTCGTGTTATTCATCATCAGGGGCGTCAGTTACTGTGTTCATCACTCTCAGGGGCGTCAGTTACTGTGTTATCACTCTCAGGGCGTCAGTTACTGTGTCATCACTCTCAGGGGCGTCAGTTACTGTGTTTATCACTCTCAGGGGCGTCAGTTACTGTGTTATCACTCTCAGGGGCGTCAGTTACTGTGTTATCACTCTCAGGGGCGTCAGTTACTGTGTTATCACTCTCAGGGGCGTCAGTTACTGTGTCATCACTCTCAGGGGCGTCAGTTACTGTGTTATCACTCTCAGGGCGTCAGTTACTGTGTTATCACTCTCAGGGGCGTCAGTTACTGTGTTATCACTCTCAGGGGCGTCAGTTACTGTGTTATCACTCTCAGGGGCGTCAGTTACTGTGTCATCACTCTCAGGGGCGTCAGTTACTGTGTTCATCACTCTCAGGGGCGCGTCAGTTATGCTCGTTTTTCATCACTCTCAGGGGCGTCAGTTACTGTGTTATCACTCTCAGGGGCGCAGTCGTTTACACTTAGGTCATACGTGCAACTCTCAGGGGCGTCAGTTACTGTGTTATCACTCTCAGGGGCGTCAGTTACTGTGTCATCACTCTCAGGGGCGTCAGTTACTGTGTTATCACTCTCAGGGGCGTCAGTTACTGTGTTATCACTCTCAGGGGCGTCAGTTACTGTGTTATCACTCTCAGGGGCGTCAGTTACTGTCTCATCACTCTCAGGGGCGTCAGTTACTGTGTTATCACTCTCAGGGGCGTCAGTTACTGTGTCATCACTCTCAGGGGCGTCAGTTACTGTGTTATCACTCTCAGGGGCGTCAGTTACTGTGTCATCACTCTCAGGGGCGTCAGTTACTGTGTTATCACTCTCAGGGGCGTCAGTTACTGTGTTATCACTCTTAGGGGCGTCAGTTACTGTGTTATCACTCTCAGGGGCGTCAGTTACTGTGTTATCACTCTCAGGGGCGTCAGTTACTGTGTCATCACTCTCAGGGGCGTCAGTTACTGTGTTATCACTCTCAGGGGCGTCAGTTACTGTGTCATCACTCTCAGGGGCGTCAGTTACTGTGTTATCACTCTCAGGGGCGTCAGTTACTGTGTTATCACTCTCAGGGGCGTCAGTTACTGTGTTATCACTCTCAGGGGCGTCAGTTACTGTGTTATCACTCTTAGGGGCGTCAGTTACTGTGTTATCACTCTCAGGGGCGTCAGTTACTGTGTTATCACTCTCAGGGGCGTCAGTTACTGTGTCATCACTCTCAGGGGCGTCAGTTACTGTGTTATCACTCTCAGGGGCGTCAGTTACTGTGTCATCACTCTCAGGGGCGTCAGTTACTGTGTTATCACTCTCAGGGGCGTCAGTTACTGTGTTATCACTCTCAGGGGCGTCAGTTACTGTGTTATCACTCTCAGGGGCGTCAGTTACTGTGTTATCACTCTTAGGGGCGTCAGTTACTGTGTTATCACTCTCAGGGGCGTCAGTTACTGTGTTATCACTCTCAGGGGCGTCAGTTACTGTGTTATCACTCTTAGGGGCGTCAGTTACTGTGTTATCACTCTCAGGGGCGTCAGTTACTGTGTTATCACTCTCAGGGGCGTCAGTTACTGTGTTATCACTCTCAGGGGCGTCAGTTACTGTGTTATCACTCTCAGGGGCGTCAGTTACTGTCTCATCACTGTCAGGGGCGTCAGTTACTGTCTCATCACTCTCAGGGGTGTTAATTACCTTCTCATCACTCTCAGGTGCGTCATTTACCGTCTCATCACTCTCAGGGGTGTCAATTACCGTCTCATCACTCTCAGGGGTGTCAATTACCGTCTCATCACTCTCAGGGGCGTCAATTACCGTCTCATCACTCTCAGGGGTGTCAATTACTGTCTCATCACTCTCAGGGGTGTCAATTACCTTCTCATCACTCTCAGGTGCGTCATTTACCGTCTCATCACTCTCAGGGGTGTCAATTACCTTCTCATCACTCTCAGGGGTGTCAATTACCGTCTCATCACTCTCAGTGGTGTCAATTACTGTCTCATCACTTTCAGGGGTGTCAATTGCCGTCTCATCACTCTCAGGGGTGTCAATTACCTTCTCATCACTCTCAGGGGTGTCAATTACCGTCTCATCACTCTCAGGAGTGTCAATTACCGTCTCATCACTCTCAGGGGTGTCAATTACTGTCTCATCACTCTCAGGGGCGTCAATTACCGTCTCATCACTCTCAGGGGTGTCAATTACTGTCTCATCACTCTCAGGGGCGTCAATTACCGTCTCATCACTCTCAGGGGTGTCAATTACCGTCTCATCACTCTCAGGGGTGTCAATTACCGTCTCATCACTCTCAGGGGTGTCAATTACCGTCTCATCACTCTCAGGGGTGTCAATTACCGTCTCCTCACTCTCAGGGGTGTCAATTACCTTCTCATCACTCTCAGGGGTGTCAATTACCGTCTCCTCACTCTCAGGGGTGTCAATTACCTTCTCATCACTCTCAGGGGCGTCAATCACTACTCCTGCAAGCAGTGTTTCCTCTAGTTCAACATGTGTAGTGGGTTAATAATAATCTTGCTGAGTAACACAAAGATTCACGTGCACTGTGTATTTAGTGATTGAATTCTTGTTTTTGTAGGTAGTATTGACAATAGGGGCGATGGGGAGCGACACAGAGGTAGATGTTGGTGGTTAGGGGTAGACTCAGGGATGGGGAGTGATTGTGGCTAGGGGTAGAAGTAGGGCGTTTGTATCCTGGAGTCTACTTGTAGGGTAATCCCAGGATCAACGCCTCCGCGGCCCGGATCACAACCAGGGCTCCCGGTGGATCAGGGTTTGAAGAACCCTGCTGGTCCGGCACAGGCTTTAAGTAAACAAACCATACCACGAGTGGGGTTTGAACCCGCGGTCAGAGAGTGTAGAAATATACCTAGTTGGATGAATCTTATTGAAGCTAGCTGGCCCAGTGGCTAACGCGACGGTCTGGAGTTTTGAGACTCTGACCGCGGGTTCAAACCCCACCAGTGGTATGGTTTGTTTGCAATCGTGTCAGTACGATTTCGTGAGCCAAGCTTTAAGTATCTGTCCAGCTCCCTCTTGAAGGCAGCCAAGGGCCTATTAGTAATTCCCCTTATGCCTATGGGAGGCTGTTGAACAGTCTTGGGCCCTGGACACTTATAGTGTTTATTTTAAGTGTACCAATGGCGCCCCTACTTTTCATTGGGGTATTTTGCAACACAGTATACAGGTATGCAAACAGCATACAGGTAAACATCGCTCTGAGAGGTATACGAACTGTGTACAGGTATACAAACATTATGAACAGGTATAAGACGCCGTTTACAAACAGATGAACACTGCGTACAGGTATATATGAAGATTGAGACACTTATGCAACATATGGGAATCTTTACTGAGGAAACGTTTCGCCTCACAGTGGCTTCATCAGTCCAATACAAAGCAAAAAGGTGTGTAAGGTTAATGGACTGAACACATCGACTCACGGCTAAGGGACTGATTACCTCAAACTCCTCTCCTTACACCTTTCTGATTTGTATCGGACTGATGAAGCCACTGTGTGGCGAAACTTTTCCTCAATAAAGATTCCCATATGCTGCATAAATGTCTCAATCTTCAACTTGTCGGTTTTCAAAACCATTCATCACACAGGTATATATGTTGGGCGCTTGAGAAGACCCAGTATGCTGTAGGAGTTACCCAGGTAGCAGGTCATAGGTACACATAGCAGAGTGAGTGTAGGTGATATATGGCTCACTACGAAAGGTTTATTTTGGAAGTATCGTACATCGGGGCAAGCGTAAAGACGGAAGCCACGACCGGGTCACGGGTCAATGATTACAACGCTGACCTTGCTACTAGCAAGTCACAGTCGCTTTACCCCAAGAAGTATCCCTTCGATCCCCGTTTGGGAGGGGGAATTTGTAACCTATACACCGTAGCCTTTACTCTTTAACGATGCTTTCGTATCGTGTAAAGATTAAACCAGCCAGTGGAGTTATAAACTACTCCACCAAACTAGCCCTTACTGCCGCTATAAGGACCTGATTGCAGGTCAAATTCACAGCAATCCACTCTCTGAAGAACTCCTTTATTGTCGTCTGTAAAGACGACAATGAAGCATCAAAACTAAAGGACGACACTGCAATGAAGACACTCAGAGACTGACAGTTCAACGTATCTCCTCCTTTCTGACTGGCGAAACGTTCCGTTTTAGTAAAACGACTGGACAAGATCGTTCTATTGTATGGTTAGAATTTTTTGTATACTCTGATACAGTTTCAATTCCTCAAGTTTTCCATATTTGAGTAGTTGAAATTTCTCTTCATAGAACTTCATATTATTTTGAGTGGCCCATTTGCTTGATGACCGCTTGGAGTCATGCGGTGTCTTCGATGAAGGACACTGTCATAGCAATTCGAGTGCCATCCGCAAAGGATGGCTTACATCTGTCTGTATCAGATATGAGGATGAGGAATAGGATGGGAGGTAGTATTGTGCCATATGGAGCAGAGTTTTTCACAGTAGCTACCTCAGGCTTTACTCTTTTTACTATTTCTCTTTGTGTTCCATTAGGAAGTTACAGATCCGTCTATCAACTTTGTGCGCTATTACACAGTGGTCCCACTCGTCGAAGGCTTTCGCGAAGTCTGTGTATACGTCATCTGCATTTTGTTTATCCTCAATAGCATCCAGGACCTTGTCAAAGTAGTCCAGTAGCTGGGACAGGCAGGAGCGACCTGCTTTAAACCCGTGTTGCCCTGGGTTGTTTAATTGATGGGTATCTAGGTGGTTGGCGATCTTCCTTCTTAGAACCTTTTCAAAGACTTTTATGATATGGGATGTTAGTGCTATCGGTATGTAGTTCTTTGCAATTGCTTTACTGCCACCTTTGTAGAGTGAGGATATGTCTGTTGTTTTTAGTAAGTATGGATGACCCTTGTGTCCATGCTCTCTCTCTATGGAATACTGAAGGCACGTGACAGGGGCTTCTTGCAGTTCTTGATGAATACGGAGTTCCATGAGTCTGGGCCTGAGGCAGAGTGCATGGGCATATCATTTATTGCCTTTTCAAAGTCTTGTGGTATTTGGATAATATCCGAGATTTTTGAGGCCAGATTTTGGGTCTCGGTCATAAAGAATTCATTTGGATTGTCGACCCTTAGTCTGGGCAGTGGCTCGCTGAGCACTGAGCCGTATTGAGACTTTAGTATCTCACTCATTTCTTGGCTGTCATCTGTGTATGTCCCATCCCGCCTAAGCAGGGGCCCAGTACTGGATGTTGTTTCACCCTTAGATTTGGTATAAGAGATGAAGTAATTTTTTTATCATTTTCCTTTATGACTTTAAGCTCTTCCTGAGATTCTTGTCTCCTGTTAGATTCCTTAAGTTAAGTTCGATATTTGCTATTTATCTGAC